CTCACTGGTCCTTCCTAGTATTATGTCCAAAGTATGAGCGATGACGTGTCACCATACTTGGGAAATTTGGGGCTATGCAAGCATTGTGTAAAAATTGTATTTTGACACATAGGAGAGTGAAACTCCCCCTAAGTTTTCCAAGGCTGTGATGCTGTCTAGTAGGTTCAAACTTGATATGTTTTGGTTCGCATCCAAGTGCTTAGTCATGTTTGCACCAGGGCTCCTGCATTGTAGAAGCACATGTATTGGGATGTGCACATATGTGTTTTATGAACATTAGAGAATTAGATGTGATTTGAGTGAATTTAGAAAGCAGGCCCCCAGCTGCTCCCCTCCATCCACCAAGTGCTACTGGGTACAGGAGGCTCTGATACTCACCTATAAGAGAAACCCTGGAGACCTGCCTGGAGCAGCCCCTGTTCCCTGCACTAAGCGTGGGGGCGAGTCAGACTCCATCACCTGTAGAAAATTGTAGGAGGAGCAAGGAAGCAGCAAGCTGGCCTTGTGGACAGGACACCCAGGGGCTAATCACAGTGCCTGAGAAATCAGGGACACTGGATGGCTCCTAGCATGGTGCCTGGCACCCAGGTGCTAGTGAAGGTCTTTGTGGATTGAAAGGAAGTTCTAGGGTCATCTCAACAGTTTCCTGACTCTCTCAGATGGTGCTTCTGTTCCTCCAAGGCCCTGGACATGAGGTGGCCTGGCTGCTTTAAAGATTGACCAGCAGGAAGGATACACACCATGTTGTGAGCACATGATGAGCACTGTCCCCACTGTCCTCTGTGTTGCAGGGTGGCCCCCAGCCTGAGGCAGGATGCAGAGGTTTCTGACGCTGCTGAAGGAGAGCAAGAGCACCTGTATACCTCCAGCAGAGCTGGTGAGCCTGGCGGGAAGGCTGAGCCAGGACCTCCATGATGACCTGGCCAAGGCAGAGCCCTTAGTGGAGGCTGTGCTGGGAAGCCCACGTCGTCTGTTCCTGCTTGACAGCGAGGATGTGGTCCTGGTGTGCGTGCATGTCCTGGCCCAGAAGGAGCAGTACCAGGTGGCCTGTCGTCTCCTGGAGGTAGCATGGATCTG